AAAGACATTATCTAAAGCCCCCCAACAAAAATATAAAAATTAATAAATTAATGAATAGTGAATGATGTTTCAGTATCAGCATTGTTATCATCATTTTATCTGATGATGATAACATGTTAGCACAATGACACTCACTTCTTCTTCTTTCTTATCTCCACTCAATCATATTAAGATATCAAGTTGTGACCCTGATGGTGTCTGTTTGACAACCATTATGACTGGGTGAAGTAGAATGTGTCTGCCTTTGTCATTAAGACTGGGAGCACTACTCAGTGGCAGGCCGACTTAGCTCCAAAAGAAATGGCCGCCTCTAACATGAGGAACAGACGCCATGTGCAGCTGCTCCTAACATGGAGTATAGACTCATCCTGTATCCCTAGATCAGGAGCCCTTACAGGGTACTATCAGCCAGGCCAGCTGAGCCCAGGTTTTTTAGTGAGCTTGTTACTGCTTCCTCTCCTCCTTTTTCATCCGGGCTTGGGACCTGCAAAGGCGGAGTTAGTTTGTCCATGAGTGTAGTTATCTCGTATGTCTTCAATAAAGGTCACTGTAACATCTTTCAGAATTATTGTCTCAATCCCGATATACATGCTAAAAGGTACAACTTCCTTAAGTTTTGTCCATGAGTGTAGTTATAATTGAGAGAGAGAGATTGAGATTGAAACTGATTTATTATAACGTCCATATAAGATTATATAAGATTAAATACAGATTAAATAAAAATATGAATAAATAAGATTATATAATGAAAAATACAAGAATAAATAGATATAAATATATAAAGCAATTGATAAATATACATATATATATAAAATATATACAAGGTCTTCATTGGTGGCGCCCACCGCGAGAAAGACTCCGCCACCGATGGACTGCGAGAGTTCTTTCCCACAGGGTGGGCAGGTCGATGTGTTGGCTGGCATTACCCAACTCAAGACCAAGATGGTACTTGTAGATGGTAGCCTTCGCCACACTTGTTAGCTTCATTGCCTCGGGATGGAGGCCGACGCCGAAGAGCCAGGCCTGCAGATCCAGGGGCAAGTCGCAGGAAGCGAACACTTCCCGGAGCAGGGTTCGCACGGCTCGGCAACTCCAATATCTGTGGGCCAGCGACCCGTCGCTGGACCCACAGGCGGCACAGTTGGCACGCCTCGAGGCAGGATGGTCAGGATGTGGTAGGGCATGGAGGGCCAGCCGTAGGGCGACATCTGCGTCGTGCCCCGAGAAGCAGTTCCGACGCAGGTCGGCCCAGGGGATGGAGCGGGGCACATCCACGGTGGGGGTCCACCGGGCAGCCAGCTCTGCAGTAGGATGGGCCTGGAGCCGTGCCGAGTCCAATGCCCGGCGCGCCCTCTGGCTGGGTAGGCGGGTGATGGGGGTCGCCGATCTCCGCAGGACGATGGTCTCCGCCTCGTACTCCGCATGATAGCTGGAGCTGGCGTTTTCCCGCAGGAGACGTTGGCAGAAGGCCCCCAGGTGCTGCGCATCTAGGAGCGCGGCCCGTGTTGAGCGCGCAAGTGCAGGGGCGCCATCGGAGAAGTCCCCGACAGTCGCCTGTAGCCAGCGCTCGGGAGCCAGCAAGTCTGGCGGCCGCAGGAACCTGTTGTCACCTCGAAGACGCAGGGACCTCAGACTGGCGGGATGAAGAACCCGGTGGTCAAGCTCGAGGACGCTGGACGCGGCCTCCCACAGGCTCAGTAGTCTCCTCCTCCTAGGCGAGTGCCAGACGTCAGGAGCCGGCGGTGTCAGCCACGCCCGGCTGCGGACCAGCCAAGAGAAGCCGTTGGCGGCGCCGCGAAGAGAGGCCTGGACCCCCTTCAGGCAGGCGAGCCGAAGCTGGCCCGCGATGTCAAGCAGGCCGACGCCACCATCGGAGACTGGACGAACCAGAATGCGTCCGGGAGCCACGAGACTCGGCTCGTACCCCACACGAAGCGCGCCAACCGCGCCTGCAGCCGGCCGATGGTGGTTTCAGGTGGAAGGTAGCCATGGAGGTGGTGCAGGATGGAACCCAGGACCAGGCTGTTGGCCGCGCGAGCATGACCCACCAGCGACAGTCCGCGGGTGAAGGGCGACCACCTCGCGATGGCTCGCTCCAGCAGCCCCATCAGGTGTGAGGTCTGGGAGGCGACGGTGTTCCTGGTGGTGATGGTGCAGCCTAAGACGGTCAGCGACTCGGACGTCCAGGAGATTCCCAGAGGAGAATCCGTCCGGTGCTTCCAGGAACCGCACCAGAGCCCGCAGCTCTTCTTGAAGTTGACAGCCACCCCGGAGGACATGCGGAACTCTTCAAAGATCAGGGGCACGAGCTCAAACTGAGCGTCGTCCCTGATGAAGAGTACGATGTCGTCCGCATAGGCGACCACGTTGCCACGGCCCAAGGTCCTCTCGAGGCGGCGTAGCAAAGGTCCAACTCCGATGCTGAAGAGCGCGGCGCTGAGACGGCAGCCCTGCCTCACCCCGTTGAGAAGCGGGAAGGCCTTGGTGTAGACATCTCCGACCCGGATGGAGGCGTCTGCTTCCCCGTAGAGGACAGCAATCCACCCTAGGAAGGTAGATGGTAGGCCCAGCTTCTCCAGCAGGGCGAACAGGTAGCTCCTGCTCAGGGTGTCGAAGGCCGACTTCAGGTCCAAAGAGATGACAGCCAGCGGCGTGTCATATCTGGATGCCCCGGCGGCTTCGTCAGACACTCGCGCGATATTCCAGGAAGATGACCGTCCTGGAACGGCGTAGGTCTGACATTGGGGCACCAGGTCTGGTAGATGACGTCGCAGACGAGCCATGAGCACGCCGCTGAGGACCCTGTAGTCGGTCGTTGGCAGGCTGATTGGCCGGAATGCCTGTAGACCCGAACCACCGTGCACTTTCGGCAGCAAGAACACCTTGCTGCGCCTTGAGGATGGAGGTAAGGCCCCGCGGAGCCGAGAAGCCTCGAAGACTTGCCAAAGAACTTCGGCGAAGAAATCTTCAAAGGCTTTGACAAACTCGCAAGGTAGTCCGTCCCATCCCGAGGCACGGCCTTCAATTTTTGATAATATGATTCTTATGATATTTATTATCAAATATTATCTCCCTGCAGAGCTTACTGAGAATGATAAAAATTCTTAGATAAGAGAGAACATAGTTTATCAATAGTGAATCCTCTCGGTAGTTTCACCAAATTAACCTCTAGACCGCTCTACTATTGTATTGGATCAATTTTGTTATATACCCTGTATATATCTACTATGGAGGCAGCTTAGGGGTAACTAATAAATTCAGTAAGGTCTGTAGGGAATATTCTATATACAGTTACGAGCGTCATTCTTCATCTCTTAATCAGTTTTCAACTCTGTCACCGTTTGCTTTTTTTTTTTTGGAATGGCGCCCTCCTATTGGTTGGCTACGATCACACCACCTTTGCCCCCCCCCCCCCCCCCCCCCCCCCCCCCATCATGCCCCCCCCACTCGCTTTTTCGTTTTTGTAACTATTGTGTTGGAGCGGGTCGCTCCTTAAATAAATGCATATATTAGTTAATAACCAAATGGAATCCTCTCTTTCTTTTTCCCAGTAAGAGACGCCTACGGAAGCCAACAGTACATAGACAGATAAAGCACATAGGCTATAGTTATTAACTAACATATGCATTTATTTAAAGCGCCAATTTATAATTGTAACAAATAGTATTTGAATCAAAACATTCAATCGGGTAAAACACGGGCGTTGCCCGGGTCATTCGGCTAGTTTCATGATAAATATCATAAGAAACATATTGCCTAAAATAATGATAAGGCACAATTTGGATTTATAGATTATAAACACAAGGTAATAAGACCTAATCCAAATAAATAAATAGTGTGTGACGTTTCGGTAACAGAGCGTTGTTACCATCTTCAAACAAAAGTACTGAATCTGAAGATGGTAACAATACTGTTACCGAAACGTCACACACTATTTATTTATTTGGTCTTATTACCTTGTGCCTAAAATAATAGTTATAAATTTTAATTTTATAAATTCAATTGCCATCTATCGTAAATGATAAATCACAATTTGGAATATAGATTATAGCCATAAGAAAAATAAGACCTAATCCAAATAAATTCATAGTGTGTGAGATTTCGGTAACAGTGTTGTTGCCATCATCAGACAAAAGAATAAAGGATTTATTTGTCTGATGATGGTTACAATGCTGTTATCAAAACCTCACACACTATGAATTTATTTGGATTAGGTTTTATTTTTCTTTGTATATAAAATAAAAGGATTTAAAAGCGCGAATGTTTCTTTTATACATAAAACGAACTTCTACTGTCCTTACTGCGATGAAAAATATATTGGGAGGGCTTGGCTCATCAGTGGTGAACCCTCCCAGCGGTTTCGCCAATTTAATCCACCAGACCGCATCTCAGAGCTCTAATACTGTATTGGATCATTCTGCTTATATATGCTACACTGAAGGATGGAATCTTAGAAATGGTTTTCAAGTAAACTATGGACATAAGCTTATAGGACAGTAGAATTACATTCAAATATTTGCTTCGAGCAATGCTCTTCAGCAAACTATAAAGACAAGGCCAGTTAGGCATAAATTAACACAAAGCAATAACGCGCCATCCTTCTATGTAGCATATAAAAGCAGAATGATCCAATACAGTATTAGAGCTATGAGAAGCGGTCTGGTGGATTAAATTGGCGAAACCGCTGGGAGGGTTCACCACTGATGAGCCAAGCCCTCCCAATATATTTTTCATCGCAGTAAGGACAGTAGAAGTTCGTTTTATGTATAAAAGAAACATTCGCGCTTTTAAATCCTTTTATTTTATATGTATAGATGGTGCGTTATTGCTTTGTGTTAATTTTTCTTTGTAAAACGACATTTGAAAATTATCCCGCATGTGTTTCTTTTCAACGAAAAATCAAAATTTATCCCAAGGAGGAATAACGATTATTTCTAACCCTATGGATGAGGCATGAAAGGATGAATTGTGAAGAGTAATGATAAACGGAAAAATAAAAGTGTCCAGGGATGGGAATCGAACCCACAATGTTCCGCTTACCGGGAAGATGCCATGTCCACTGGGCTACCGTGGACGTATTTTTCCATTTGTAAATAATACATAAAGTAGTTTATAATACAATATAATGCGGCTTGTGATTGTAAAACGACATTTAAAAATTATCCCGCATGTGTTTCTTTTCAACGAAAAATCAAAATTTATCCCAAGGAGAAATAATTTTCAAATTTCGTTTTACAATCACAAGCCGCATTATATTATATTGTATTATAATTTATTTTTCTTGTTGCCATCTATCGTTAAAATGTATTTGTAACAAATTTTATAAATTTTATTGTTTGATGGCAATATCAAAAGTATAATACAATATTCAGAATTATAGATTAAAAATAATATGATAACAAGAACATATACAAATCAATAAAACGCTGTGCCATGCACAATTTATAGGTTTGATCTTAGATACAAGAAAATAAGACCTAATCCAAATATTTTAATAGTACGTGATGTTTTGGCAACAGCATTGTTACCATTATCAGACAAAAGATTTTTTTTATTCATTCTTTTTCAATTTTCTTTTGTCTGATAACAGTAACAATGCTGTTGCCGAAATGTCACACACTATTAAAATATTTGAATTAGGTCTTATTTTCTTGTATCTATAATCCAAATTGTACCTTATCATTTGGATGTGGTCTTGTTACCTTATGTTTCTATTCTATAATCCAAATTGTACCTTATCATTTGGATGTGGTCTTGTTACTTTTAGTTTATAATCTATAATCAAAACTGTACCTTATCATTTGGATTTGAAGATTTGACTTTTGAATTTTAGATGTTGATTGTTTTTATACTTGTTGCCTTGTCACACCATCAGCAGAGCCAAGCAGTGTGATACCAGGACATGGCTAAGACAGCAGTGGCCCTGCAGAACCTACAAATGTTGTCGGAGGAAGATGACATCTACTCTGGCTACAACAATTTCCATCCCAACCTGGCCATTGAGGTATTGTTCCACCTGTCTTCTTAACTCTTTGTGTGGATGTGAAGATGTCTTCACTTCTTTATTGTTGTCACAGAAGTGGCTTCTCTCCTTTATTGTTGTCATGGAAGTGGCTTCTCTCCTTTATTGTTGTCACAGAGGTGGCTTCTCTCCTTTATTGTTGTCACAGAGGTGGCTTCTCTCCTTCATTGTTGTCATGGAAGTGGCTTCTCTCCTTTATTGTTGTCATGGAAGTGACTTCTCTCCTTCATTGTTGCCACGGAACAATGCCACTAACATATATTCTCCTTTATTGTTGTCACGGAGGTGGCTTCTCTCCTTTATTGTTGTCATGGAAGTGGCTTCTCTCCTTTATTGTTGTCATGGAAGTGGCTTCTCTCCTTTATTGTTGTCACAGAAGTAGCTTCTCTCCTTTATTTTTGTCACAGAAGTGGCTTCTCTCCTTTATTGTTGTCATGGAAGTGGCTTCTCTCCTTTAATGTTGTCACAGAAGTGGCTTCTCTCCTTTATTGTTGTCATAGAAGTGGCTTCTCTCCTTTATTGTTGCCACAGAGGTGGCTTCTTTCCTTAATTGTTGTCACAGAAGTGGCTTCTCTCCTTCATTGTTGCCACAGTTATACCCTACTTTTTCATTATATGATTTATTTCTTCTTTTAAGCATGATTCAAACACAAATGTGGTCTCTCAATATCTCCCAGTTAACAGATAAGGATTGCAGGATCTCCACCAGGACGTGGGGTTCCAACAAGCCATCAAGACCAGCTATGGCCGTCCACCTTTGGTAGGTCTATCTCAACACTTGGTCAGTGGGATGTTGACGGCTGTTCCTGCAGGTACCTGGCACTACTGGACAGGGTCCATCTACCTCCAGACTGACCACTGGGGTAGGTACTTGATGTCCCCTGCTTCTGTCTTAGATCTTATTTGGTGAGCTGGTAATATTGAACTGCCTTTCTTTCTTTTTTTACATTCCTCCTTTTGTATATTCAGCTTAATGAAGTTTATTCAATATTTTTTTATATTGTTGCATTGTTAGTCTGTCTCAGATCTTATTTAGTGGGCTGTGGGCTTGTAATATTGAACTGTCTTTCTTTTTTACATTCCTCCTTTTGTACATTCAGCTTAATGAAGTTTATTCAATTTCTTTTTATATTGTTGCATTGTTAGTCTGTCTCAGATCTTATTTGGTGGGCTGTGGGCTTGTAATATTGAACTGTTTTTCTTTACATTCCTCCTTTTGTACATTCAGCTTAATGAAGTTTATTCAATTTCTTTTTATATTGTTGCATTGTTAGTCTGTCTCAGATCTTATTTGGTGGGCTGTGGGCTTGTAATATTGAACTGTTTTTCTTTCTTTACATTCCTCCTTTTGTACATTCAGCTTAATGAAGTTTATTCAATCTTTTTTTAAATTTTTGCATTGTTAGTCTGTCTTAGATCTTATTTGGTGAACTGTGGGCTTGTAATATTGAACTGTCTTTCTTTTTTACATTCCTTCTTTTGTATATTCAGCTTAATGAAGTTTATTCAATCTTTTTTTTTATATTGTTACATTTTTAGTCTGTCTCAGATCTTATTTAGTGGGCTGTGGGCTTGTAATATTGAACTGTCTTTTTTTTTCTTTTACATTCCTCCTTTTGTATATTCAGCTTAATGAAGTTTATTCAATATTTTTTTATATTGTTGCATTGTTAGTCTGTCTCAGATCTTATTTGGTGGGCTGTGGGCTGGTAATATTGAACTGTTTTTCTTTCTTTACATTCCTCCTTTTGTACATTCAGCTTAATGAAGTTTATTCAATTTCTTTTTATATTGTTGCATTGTTAGTCTGTCTCAGATCTTATTTGGTGGGCTGTGGGCTTGTAATATTGAACTGTTTTTCTTTCTTTACATTCCTCCTTTTGTACATTCAGCTTAATGAAGTTTATTCAATCTTTTTTTTTTTTATGTTGTTGTGATGTTGTTTGACAAAGAATAACTTCCATGGGTACAAAGGATCTTTAGGACTTTATTTAAGCCAACTGCAGCACAGTGAAGGAAAACAGGAGCAGAACAGGAGATAGAAGTTGGTAGAACCTTCTATAATCTTCCCTGAAGTACACTGGCTTCGGCGGTAAGCAGCAGTCTGACCTCTTGAGACAGCAGCTCGCACTTGCTTCGAGCACACCATGTAGCTTTGTTCTTCTTCTCTCTTTCTTCTTCGACATGAGCTCCTCATCCCTATATATCCCGGAGTAGATCTTTCCAGAACGCTCAAGGTTAGTCAGCCAATCAGAAAGTAGCCAGCACCAAGCCTTGCGCAATCGCTTTAAATTGGCCAATCAGTTGTTCTCCGATTTTTCTACATTGTTCAAGAATGTTCTAAAATATTATCTTCTGGAATGTGCTTTTTTTTTGACTACGTAACAATTATAATGTGAGGACTGAGGAGAGAGTCAAGAAAACAGGCTTCTTAGGACTGTTTAAAGCATTTATTCACTTCAACCATCACACATACTAACATTTATTCAATAACAACAACACTAAGCAATACAAAACAATGCAATATATACTGCTCATGTCATCATGTGACTTATGCATGACTCATGCCGCCTGGCAGCAGGTAGCTGCTTTTCCTACATTAATGCTTCTTTTTGAATAAATGATCAAAAACTACTTTTATCTAGCTTCCTGTGATGATAGAAAATACAAGGTTGTCCCAAAAGTTCGTAAACACTTGCAAAAATTGAAATACCAATTATATTAATCATAATATTATTCCCCGTTATGTATGTCTTTGTATTATGTATAAAGTAATTGTATTTTGTATTATTATTATGTATTCGCTGCAATAATATTATTCGGCAAGTAATAAGTAAAACATAAACTTTTGGGACAACCTTATATACTGTAGAATCTCCATGAGAGGACACTCAAGCTAGAGGACACCTCTATACAAAGGATAGTTTTCATTTGCAAAAATCACCATTTTCACTATTTTGTAGCTCTCCGGTAAGAATACACTTCTCCTTAAAGGACACTTTGGCTCTGAAATTAGGTGTTGCCTTTACAGGGAGGTTCTACTGTAGCTGCTCTCCAGTAAGAGGACACTTCTCTCTAAAGGACACTTTGTCTTTATAACTATGGTGTTGTTCTTTACAGAGAGGTAGTTCTACTGTAGCAGCTCTCCAGTAAGAGGACACCTCTCCTTAGAGGACACTTTAGCTCTGTAATTCCTTTATAAGAAGGTTCTATACTGTATTAAATGAGAGGGTTTGATGTGTTCTTCAAACCCTCACATTTAATTTGTCTATCATCACAGGAAGGTTTGCAGAAGTAGATTTTGTCCCATGCTTACCCCTCTGTACCTGGCCTGTGGTGCAGTGGACATTGTTGGGAGGTACAGTAAACCCTCTACATGATCGTAACTTGTTCTGGTAGACTTGATGCTGTAACCAGGAGGGACACTCCCTCTTTAAAAATCCTGAGTTCAACTGACCCGGTACTCCAGGAATACAGAGGAGTTGCATCTGTACTCATGTTAGAGTTGGCAGCAAAGGATTCCATGTTAGGAACGGCCTCAAATTACAGGCAAAGTCAAACTTTCACCAAAGTGTGCCTGGATCATTGTGCCATGATCAAAGAAAGCTGCACCCATACATCCCATTCCATGAGGTCATGAACTCATGGAATTTGTGTAATCTTTACACAAGGGGATAAGAAACAACAACAGATTTTGAGAGGATTTATTTGAAAACAAGTAATGTAACATAAAAAAACATTTGGAATATTAATATTTGCTTAGAGATGGCATTTTAAAATTTGATTTGTTACACACCCAGTTCATCTAGCCTGTATTCCCCATTGAGTATCTAGTTGTGTCCAGTATGGTGGAGGAGGTCAGACCACTTCAGACAACTCTAGAGTCCAGGCTAGACCAATGACTGCAGTCCGGGGTGCCGGCTACTCCTCTCTGGGAACTCGAGGTGGGTGGTTCTCTCTGCCTGGGAAGCCTGAACTCTCATCTATAAAATTCTATTCAATAAACTCTTTAGAACTGGGGGGGCTATCTGGGGAAACAGTACATTGTCCGGT